CTCCTCCTTAGTTTGAAAAAGAGAGGAAGAGAGACAGCCTGGGACCCGGGATGTTAGAAGGAGAAATTCTAGGTGGGAGGAGATGATAGAGTGGCTGTTTGGCTGGACTTTTTCTTAGTAGCCACAGATTAAACTGATCTTCTCCTCCAAAAAAGACTGTATTTTAAGAAGATGCCGGTGAGCCAAAGAGACCATGCTTCAGCTAAAAAAAGACAGAAGTAGAGTAAACAGAGACACGTTAAAGAAGTTTGTAGTAGTGCCCCCTGTCTTCAGAGAAGAAGAAGAGAAGAAAATCTCTGTTCGTGAATCCTCAGCCCCAAAGGAAAATGGGGGGGGACTGTTGGTCCCAAAAGTGAAAAACTGAACTGTTGTTTTTTCCCCTCTTAGCAGGGCATCCTTGAAAGGAAAAATCCTAAAAGCAGTCTGTTCATCCATACATTAGTAGTGAGAGCACTGTGCATAGAAAGGAGAAGGTCACCACTGACAAACTTTTTCTCCAAGCAGTGCCATGTAGTGACACAGAAGCACAAGATGTGGCAGCTGTGTTTCTTGGAGGGTCTGTAGCACAAGAAAGACTCCTCTCTCCCTGCAGGTAGACTAAGTGTTGATTATCTGGAAGGTAGAAACCTGATTGGGGTCCAGATTGTCTCTCACTATAATTTATTAGAGTTAAGTAGTAGGAGGAGGAATGCTTTAGAAGGTTTTCATTTTAAATTATGTGTTTTCTTTCTTCTTCCCCCCCCCCCTTTAATAGTAGCATAGTAGTAATAGTTTAATAAAGTTTTTTTTTCCTTGTTATTAAGCTTAAGCCTGCTTTACTCTGTTCTCAATCACATTTCACAGCATTCAGTTGAAAAATTACATTTTCATAGAAAAGCACTAACATTGTGCCAGTGTCAAACCATGACAACTCTCTTACAACACTGTCATACTTTTCACTTTATTTGAAGGTCTTTGTAACAAGCAAATAGTTTTTAAATTTGTGGTAGCTTGTTCCAAGCATCAGCAAGACAGAGAGTTACGAAAGGTCTAAAGGTTTCAAAATAGAGTTTCTGGACAAGGAAAGTAATAAGATTCCTCCCCTCAGAAGCCAAGTACAGAAATTAAGGGACTCATCCATATGATGATTGGGTTTTGGCTTTCCGTTTAAAATCTAAGAATAAAGAAATATAAACAAAATCAATGAGAAAGTCTAGTGTTCATCTGGAGGAGATCCACTGATAATTGGAAAGACTATGCAAAGGTAAATTAGAGATGTTACTATGAGATTACAGAAAATATAAGAAATGAGAGCTTTAGAAATGTGAGCTGCCGAGCAATTTCTGAGTAAAATCTATGCATTTGTAATAGACAAAGCTCATCTGCCTGCTTATAATTCAGGAAAGATCAGTGTTGTTATGAGTATAGCAGAACTTGAATAATAAATTTAGGTGAAGACCATCATTTGCACTTCCCATTTGGTTAGAAGGGCATTGTAACAGCTGTTTTTCTCACCAAAAGCAGCTGACTGGTGATATTATTTTTCAATTAATGATATTACACTATGAATAGATTACTGCATGTAGGCATGAAAACAACAACAATTAGTGAAAGAAATTCAGCAATGTAACAAAGTATGTTTTGGTTTTCATTTAATTGGAGGGTAGGGAAAGTCAGAGATGGAATAAACCCCTTCTAGACACAGTGAAATTTGTATGCTGGAGGCTCTCAAAACAATCCCAGCCAGACTGAGTAAACAGATCTAGAAAAAGAAAGAATTAGGCAAGTGTAGAAGAGTAGAGAACAAAGATGACAAAGACTTAAAGCAGTGTTGAGAAAATCTAAGGGATTTTGTTTTTTAAACAAGAGTGTAATTTTGCACTGAATCCCCAAATGAATAGAGATTTCAGTTATTTAGAACTGAAATGCCATCCCTAAATATCTTTACATTGTTACATGCACTAAGCCAAGCTGTGTAATTCCACACTTGGTTGATTGTGAAAGTAAAGCTTTTTAGTTTTACATTCCAAACCACAATAGAAGAAGAGATGACACCAAAGGAAAAAAGCCTTATGTTAAAAGACACCACCCTACTGCAGTGGTGCTTACGAACACCATTCCACACATTAAGTCACATTTCGTACTATCTGTGGAAAACACAGCCTAATTTAGGTGTATAAGATGTGAGATCTATATTAACTAGTCTTAGAGGTCTAATGTACTCCTCTAGCATAAAATGAGGACCAAATCAAAGAGCTGAAACAATGACCTCTGGGCACATATTACTACATCCTTAACCACATCTCTAGGTCACAAAATATTCACATTTCTTCTCAAGAGCAAATAAAAACACCAAATAACATGAAGGGGTAAATAAATATGACCCAGGAAAAATAAAATCTGCTTTGCAGGTACATGACTTATTACCAATACATATATTAATAACATAATCCAAACCCTCCTATGAATGAATATGTGTGTGAATATCAGCTGGTGAAAACAAGACTCTTTTAAAGCTCAGGTTTTCTTTCTTGTGTCATTCTGCTCTGCTTTGTGCTCCTTTCTCAGATAATAAGCAGGTGAGCACATTTCTATTCTGTCCATGTACAGCAAAACATCAAGAGTTCACATTCCAAGGACCCACCCCTCCCAATTCGCACCTTGCACCTTTTCTTTCTTAAAAAGACTATGCCTTATAGCTTTCACACATTTACTGTTTCACTGTTTTGCCCTGAATCAGAAATTGATGAAAACTTCCTTGTAGTGAATTGAGGGACAAGAATATTGGAAAGCTTATCTTTCTGACCTTTGATTTTACAAAACTATATTTTTCTGGTTGGTGAAATCAGGATTCATTTCTCTGTCTGAAAATGCAAAGGACCTCCCACTATCACATTTGCTACATCCCTCCCCTAAAGCCCTCAAAATAGAAATGATAAAATTGCTCTCTTTCTTTTTCCCAAGTCTGTAGGAGTAACAGCCTGATTAGTAATTCCCTGTATAAGAAAGAAGAGTGCCCCAGCAAAGAGCGTGGGAGCATAAAACTGCTAGAAGAGAGAAGCCACACTTTACCTATTCATTTCTAATAGAATATGTTCTCAGGGGACAGTTTTATATAGTAGAAGCTTGAGATTTGCACAGAAAGATAAACTCTGGTCAAGTATCTGCATCCCATCTGGGACATGGTCTAATCAGGAATTTCCAGCAAAAATACTTTTCCTCATAATATATCAAACTGTCATTTTGCACTCGTTGTATATTTAACGTTCCTAATGTCAGTGAAAAAGGAAAAGGGACTTAAATGTCAGTGAAGAGCTGAGGGGATGCTTTGGTTATTGAACTGCTCCCTCCCAGGACCACTTCCTTTCTTCTCCCTCTGCACTCACAAGCTGTGGATGGTCACCAGCTCTTGCATGCAACACCATGATCCTTCAAGTCACCTGCTGGGAGAAGTCTTTTTCCACAGCACTCAGTGTCCCAGGGCTGAGCACCTGAATCCTGAAGCCAGCCACTAAGGGATGTTTGTCCTTTGTGAAGCACAACAAATGGAGCACCAAGTCAGGAACCAGGAAATGAACTGAAGGATGGGTGACAGGTGAGCAGACTGCACACACAATTCTGATGAGTTATGATGAGGCTTCTCACATTTTGGATCTGAGGCTGCACAGATACTGACTGGTCCTAACTGAGCACCTGCCTGGGGAAGCCATTGCCTGGCCCCAGGGTTCTCTGAGAAAGCAAAGAGAAGACAACCATGAAAGGAAACCCCCTGCATCATCCTTTACACAACAAATTTCTGTAATTGCTCCACTGCACCAACTGAGCAAGCAGTGCATGGGCTTTCTGTTCTGTTCCCTGAAAAGAAATATGAAAGAAGCTCTGAGAACTCATGGGAAATGTATTTATTGCAAGTTGTAAAAAACTTTTGTCCAGTGTGAATAAACCAAAAACCTTAATTTCCCTGGCTTCTGCAAAGTAAAAGATGAAAAAATACATAAAAGTATCCTAGAAATACACACACATTTTCTTTGGAACTTGAAAGGCCCACAAAATTCAAAAAAGAATGTAATAAAATTCCACCCAAATTTGTGTTTATTTATAGCATTCTTCACACATTCTACTGCAGTTTATTTCCTACTTGTTCTGCAGCTACTGAAGTGTTTTGTTACTTAGCTCATCTTTTAGTAACTACATGATAGTCTATAAAAGCACAAAAAAATCTGACTACTGAGGAAAAGAGAACATAAACATATTTTAAAATAGTCCACAACTCCATCTTTGGATACCTCCCAACCTGCATGCTTTCTATCAGCTTTGTTCAATATACACTTTGATGTCTTGCTTTATCTAGTCATTTTTTGGGGTTTGTGAGGCAATTAACAAACTCAGTTTTTCTGGAACTTTTGAAAAGAGAATGGACACATATTTCTATGAGTTTTGTGATATATTTCTCATGTGACTATGAAATTACTTTTTTTTCCCACTTACAGGGTAAGGGTAATGCCGTTTAATTTTCCTGAAGACATAGTATTGAAGATCCCACATACCTTCAGAAACATCAAAATTCATGCCAGTAATGCACTGAAATAATTAATCTCCTTTATACTACATTCCATAGAAATATGTGGTATAATCAATGTCCTCCTTTTACAAACATGCTTTTATATACATGCATAATCAGTGTCTTTCTTTTACATACATGCTTTTTTCCCCCATACCATAGATAAGGGAGATATTGTCTTTCAAAGCAAAATCTCATCTTAACTTGGAAAACCCAAAAACTTCCAATCAAACACTGGCAATTTTTATCAAATTGAAAATGCAGAATTATTACAAGTATAGTAGAAATATGAGTGTTTTTAAGAATATTTGAAGATCACAGCACATTTTGTAGTCTGATTAAACAAATAATTAATAAATAGTTTTTACATTTATATTTTCACCAGAGTGAAACATTCATGCAATGTTTTAAAATGTCAGCAAGGGTATAATTTTTTTTTAGAAATTATAATTTGACTTACTGGGAAGTACAGAAGAAGCGATCCAAAAAGAATGGTTTCCAACAGCACCAACCCTGAAGCCCTGATACTCTAGAAGACAAAAACCAACACAAAATATTAGAAAATTCTTTCTGTGTGCCATTTTCATAAAGGTACCTTGACTTTTGTCAGTGTAACACTTCCACAGTAATGTTTATTAAGCTGTCTGTCATGCTTGCATGCTTCACACTCTTTAAATCACAGGCCCATTACAATGGTTGTGTTTTACAAAATTAAATTTAAAATATCTTTTCCCTATGTTAAATACTATTCAACAGACATTACCTGGATATGATTTAAAATTGCTAAATTTGCTCTCAAGTGTCAAGACTGAGGGATCATGGGAATTACAGACATGAACTTAACTGTAAAATTTGTTCTGCATTGTTTAAATTTCAAGAAGTCCCTAGAAGATTTTTGCTTATTTAATATTAATGACTTAGTTTCCATAATAAGTATGAATAATCTCAAATTTTATTAAATATAGTGTGTTCTTAGACTGCAAGTGCATTTACTTTTCCTGAAATTTTTGTACAAAGATGTCAATTTATTAACTTGTAAGGATTGTAAAATACTACACCATTTCCTCACCACATGTTGGTTAAGAAACCAACATGGTTTTCTTAAATCTTAAAATTAAAAAAAAACAAAACAATTATCTTTCTTAATACAAAGAGTATTCCAATAACTCTGATGATTTATGTACAGTGCAACTGTGCCTTACCTTAGAGACAAAATAGCAACACTTGTGAGAAACAGAAATGTTAAATGAAGATCAGTATTGATCACTGCAAAAGCAGAATGCTTTGCTGATCTGTGCAAGGTACAGCCCAGGTGCAGAGGTGCTGTGTAGAAAAACTAAATTTCAGGAATTTTATCTCAATAAAAGTTTGCTTTTAAGAAATAGAATGCACAGACTCTTCTTTCTGCCCCCAAGGCTAAGCAATAGCAATATGTTTGGCTCTTCTGTTAAGAGACAGAAGCTGGACTTCCAGTTCCCAGACATTGATATTAAGAGTGGCAGGAGAAAGTGGAACTATATTTCATTTTGGTGGGAAACCTAATACTATTCATACATGTAAGAGGAGTACTGGGGACTAAAGAATGGGCATAAAAACAGCTGGAAGGAGTTATCTGAATCCTCAGTTAGTACCCTATAACAGTAGTGCCATAAGTTATTTATTGTCTTAATAATAAATTCAGGGACTGATTAGGACCACTACCCATGAAAACATAAATGTTTTCCATAATGTAAATGAAATGTTTCCATAATGAATTCCATAAAAAGGTTTTGCTTAAATTTTATTATTGTTGGTTGAAGTACAAAATTCAAACAATGCATTCCCACCTAACTGCAGGGAAAACTCTTCAATACAAGGGAGAAAAAGTTATATCTCTTTTGGAAATTTCTGTGTAAAATAATTAAGAGGAAATTGTGTGTCCTGCTCAACCTTTCCTCACTCTAACAAATACTTTTAACCTATTTGAATCATAGCCTCCTAATAGAATACAGATTTCAAATACAGAAATATTCACAGCAAAGGCAAAATTTACAAAAACAGGCCTACAGTTACAGGCTGCCACTTAAACTGTACTGACAAATTGTCAGTATTTTCTGGCATTTGCAGGTTTTGTGCAGTATTCCCAAACCAAATAAATATAATCCTCATATTCTTTAATTTCCCTTTCATGCCTTTGAAAGAGACTTACATGAAGGTCAATTTTTTTTCTATAACTAGTTATAGCTGAGCTCAAACAGAATATAATTATTAAATTTACTTTTTACTTGGAAAAAAAAATCAGGAAAAGCAAAGGCCATTAATCATAAAGCAATTTCATTACCAGTACACAAGATTGCAGAAGAAGAAGAAATCCTGAAATATTTAATTTTTCAATTCATGTGGCCCTGGATGCTTTCTGTTATACAAGTAACCGAATCTGCTGAGATATATCATGATGAAGGTAAGGTGTTCTGCATTTAGAAACATGGGCATTGCTGCATCTGAGTTGCACTACACCACCTAAAAGATAGACATTTGAGAAAACAGTATTTGCTGGTGAAGAACCCTCACAACAAAAATGGTTTATGTCCCAGGGACATCTTTTTTATGAGGGCAGAATATCCTTCCTTGGGGACATACTGTTTAGATAAAGACACCTGCTTCTCATCAAATAGTGGTGAATATATACATCAAAGAAAATCAGTAATGAGATAAATACCTAAGTTCAATTTCAGTCTATTCACAGCTGAATGGTTAATTTAAAAGATGAATATGTACAATGACAACCATCAAAAATATGGATCACTTAAAGTATCTATTTCACTAGGTTATGCATTAAATTAATATAGAAATTAAATGACGGTCCAAAGACATTACTTTCAAGACTAAAATGCACTCTATTATTGATAGTTGCCTAATCACCCAGAGATTAAATTGAATACACAAAAAAACTCTGATGAAATAGGAAACCAAATTTCAGGAGCAGGAGGTAGATCTCTTTAGTTTACAAATAGCTTCAGAATACCTGAACTAAATTTCAGCTTTCTTATTCAACATGGCCTCACCTATTACAGAAGATGAACCACAGCTCGATAAAATTGTCTGTATAAATTGTAATAAAATCACACAGAAATAAACAGTTTATGGTAAAAGGATAAAAAAAACAACCTGACTGCAAAGTTCAAGATTCATAACATTTCAGAGGAAACAAACTGAAAATTATGTGAGAAACATTAGAATAAATCCAATTGAGGTAAAATTTCTCATTGTTTTTCATGACTTAGAAGGCAAATTAACTATAGATGAAAATCATTATAATAATTTCAGATCAGTCAAAACCTCATACTTCAGAAGGTTTTATATCCAACTTTTACTTTACAAGAGCCAAGTGCTAAACCACTCAAAATGAATATCTTATGATTGCATCTGAGAAATCCTAATCCCAAAAACGGTGATATTTTTCAACTCTTCAGAATTTATTAAGTAATCTCTCTTTAAGTTTAGATCATGGAATGTATGTTTCACTGAAATAAAAGCACATTTGTTTTTGAAGGAAATACTGCTCTGCATAATTATTCTTCCTACCAATGTATTGCTGAAAGGCCCAGCCCAGGGAAGCCTCATGTTAGTACAGACCCTGCACAATGAATAAGTTAAAATGGCTGTGCTATCTGCATAAAGTTAGGAGTTTAAGTCAAGGGACAGCATATGGATAAGGGCAGATGAGAAGAACAGTGGAACAACAAGGCAATATCACATTTCAGAACCGGCAATTAGTAGTTAATCCCAGCCTATCATTATCCCACTCTAAGTCAAATACTTCGTCAACACTTGAATCTGAAGACATAATATGGAGAGCAGGGGATGCTCTCAAAAAGCTTCCACCAAGCATGAGGAAAGTATGAAGTGAATAAGGGGTGCTTTTTGAAAAGGTAACAAGATGAGGCTGGTGTTGACACTTCTGCATCAAAGAAATAGCATTAGGAGACAGAAAAAAACTCATGTGGGAGTTGAAAAAACCCAGAGATACACAGCTCATGCATGATGTCAAGAGGGAGATGCAGCGAGGACAGCAGAAAGTGGCAGAGCATGGGTAAGTAAATCATGGGCAGCATCACTTCAAACACACAGGAGCAGGCCGTGCCTGCATCTGCCAAGGCCAGCTGAAAGGACATGGCAGTAGTCAAGACACAAGACACCAAGCTGAGACAACAAACTTAGGGCTGCAGACTGGCAGAAAACATTCATTAAAAGGGAGCTCAGAAGTATTTTGGCAAGGCTTAGACACAGCCAGAGACCAAAAAGACCTTTGGTAACAAGCAGGTTGCTACAGTAACTATGAAAGCAGCAGATGTGATGTCCTAGAGGGAAGCAGGAGGAGATCAAGGCTTCTTTTCTGTTATATACTGAAGTTGATGAGAAGATGTCAGAGAAAAATGTCATGATTTTATTCCAGACAGGGGGAAGCATGGCTGCAACAAGGAAGGCAAAAAGCAATGTGACTGTGCTCATAGCACAAAGTTCTAGTGAGAAGCTGACAGTATGAGCCTGCTCCTAAAAACCTTCAACTTTTACCCAAAGAAATGAAGAAAAGAATGAAGAACAGGAATATGTTTTAGTCTGAGCAATTTGTGTTCCGCTTGTACCGCATGATATGGCCAAAACCAACCAACCAACCAAAATACTAAAACCAGCAAAAAGTTTCTCTGAACACTCTAACATTAACTAAAAGTTTTGCAGTTACAAATATGCAGTAAAAAATGCAAGACTTTTCCTAGAATAAGGTTTCACATGCAGTTTTATTTATACTATTTGAAAGTTTTCATGCTACATTTTTTTCTGGTGTTTTCATTCCCTGTTTCTTCATTTACGTTACTTCTTTCATCTCTTTGGGTAAAACTTCTAAAAAAAACCCCTATTTTCTCATCTTCGTGAGAGCTTCTCCTTAGTTAAATTGGATTTTCAACATCAAAATAGGGTCTTACTACTAGACCCTTAAAACAAAAAGAAAGATCTGCTTCAGACAGAAGTCTTCTCTTGGAGAGGGAGGCATGCCAAAGACCTCATGCAAGCCACCAGGGACTTTGCTATTGCTATTGATTGTACAAGGAAGGTTCACAGCAGGATACAACTCCAAAACAAATAGCAGGATAAATAAATAATGTCACCGTTATTCTGCTGACACGATAGGAAATCTCTTCCCAGCAAATCTGTAAATGCCCACTCAGGAACCAAAATGAAACTCCAGATAAATGCAACTGTCCTGAAGTTACTGCATCAAAGAATCAGTGGGGAAAGCTTATTACCATGTGACAGACTACTCAGATACCCTATAAGGGCTATAAATATGAGAATCAGCAGGAATCAGAGAGTAACAGACAAGCAAAAATCTTAGCAGTTTGCTCAGTTTAATTGATGACTCTTAAAATGACCTTGGAAAAACTCTTCTATGAGGTAATAGTTTTCATTGTTGGAAAATATTTGCTGGAATTCAAGAATTCAATTACTTAATTTTTCATATTTTATTTTTAAAGTGAAATAATTGTTTAA